CACAGACCTCCGGTCATGTAAGGGTTTACAACGAACTAAGTAGGCCGTTCGTCACCAGAAGCGGGGTTCGCCAAGGATGCCCTCTTTCGGTGTTCCTGTTCAATTTCGTCGTAGAAGAAATACTGGAGAATGCACTTAGCGGTCTCCAAAACACAGGTATTGAATGGTTAACTGGAGAAAAGCTGTGCGATTTGAAGTACGCCGATGACCCTGTCTGTCTATTTGAATGTATGGAGGACGCGCAAAACGCACTCGGTAGACTAACAATTTCTGTTGCCACATTCGGTATGTGCTTTGCACCTTCAAAGTGCAAAGTAATGCTGTAGGATCGGGTTCCACGTATTTCACGCTCTGAAACTAAATGACTGGGAATCAGTTATTGTGGATTACTTTTCCTGCATAGGTAATTGCGTGACCAATGACAGTATTGCAGCAAAAGCGATGACAGCCCGCATTTCCAAGGCTCGAGCAGCATACACAGGACTGAAACACATTTGACGTAGATGCGACACTTCACTGAAGTTGAAAGGTAGTGTACATTGTTCCACCGTTCGTTCAGTTCTGCTTTATGGTTGTGAAACCTTGAATTTGCGAGTTGANGCGTAGACGCGACGTTTCACTGAATTTGAAAGGTCGTGTATATTGTGCCAGTGTTCGTTCAGTCCTGCTTTATGGTTGTGAGACCCTGAATTTGCGAGTAAAAGATATCCATCGACTAGAAGTTTTCGATAATCAGTGTTTACACAGTTTAACCCACGTTGGATGGAGCGAACGGGTTAGTAACGTGAAGGTAAGCCGTCGTGTGTTTGGGAGTCTGTTAGGTATAAACCTGCTAGCATATGGAATTGAGATTAATACGCTTCGCTGGCTAGGGCATCCATTGCGTATACCCAGCCATCGTCTGGCGCACCGCGCTTTATTCGCTGTGGCTAATCCGGGCTGGAAGAAATCACGTGGAGGTTAACAGATGTCGCGGGGATAAGGCATGGAGAAATGCACAGAGTCATTAAGTAGAGTAGGTGTCTCTCGCCTTTCAGATTGGGGTCCGAAAGACTACAACTGGTTGTTTGGAGACATTGAAGGATATTACAGCAAACCGACAGCAGTGGCGTTCTTTTTGTCGTTTCTTATCAGGTCAGAATGCTTGAAGCGGTCTGTGTGCAGAATTCGATTGCGTACTCTGTGTGTTGACCATAGAGGCTCACCTTCTCCCCTCTTCCTTAAATCAAGTCCAATCCCTCTCCACCTTAAATTTTACCACTAACGTTGTATGTATTGCGAGTTTGGCAGCGATCAGTGAAGTTCGCTTCTCTGTATTTCGCTGTTCGATGATGATGAAACCTCGAGGATCATCATAGTCATCAATTTTTCCTCATCTACTGTTTAATGCACTGAACTGTGAATTAAAATGAAGCCACTTCGTAATTCAATGCGCTTGTAGTGCTTTTTTTCTCTTGCGCTACCTCTGGTATACCTTAGCGAGTTAGACAAACTGTAGCTCAGTTAAACTATTGATGATCTCTAATTTCAGCCCAGCTAATCTATTTCGTCCAAACAATGACAAACGATGACCTTGCACACGATTTTGGCAAGTGAGTTACCCGTTGTTTGTTTTATTAAGTTCTCCGCGCAGAACAATCGACACGGAAGAGTTACTTTCATCTTGTGCGTATAGTTTTCCTTTATTAACCATCGATTTCCAGTCATCATCGAGATGCCAAAGGAATACACAGAAGCAGAGCGAGCCGTAAAAAAGGGACTCTCCTCATTACGGAAAATGGTACTTTTGGTTCTGTTCTTATTTATCATTCTCATTTAACCGTAGAAACGAACACTGACGGATTTGAGTCATATACGCAAGGAAGAAAAACCACGGGGTAGCACCCCATTCTATATCATTTTATACGTACGTTTAGCTGTAAAGCCAGGCGAAAAAGCCAAAGAGGAAGCAATGCAATTGCTCCGTTCCGGAGCCATTTCATTAGAAAATAAAAAAGAACGGCAAACATTCAAACGGAAAGCCAAGGTAAGCGGAACACTTTGGTTTCCTAAACTTGGATGTAAACTTTAAAGGAATTGGACGAAGAGGATACATCCATCCGAACGGTATATATCCCACTCATTATTATCATCGATACGTAATTAGCATAAGACGCCTCATCAGAAAGACAAACAAGCTTTGTATGGTAACTTCTTACGAGGACCGAAACTTTATCCGCAATATTCATCCGATCGCGAACACCGCTCCGGACATTCGGAAGACACAAAGCCGTTTGATTCTCCAGATCTCAGTTCAACTACTGCTTTATTAGAAACAGCAGCTTCTAAGCGAAAACAACAGTTAATTGCTTTATCCGAAGAAGAATTAGAAGATACTGATGTGCCACATACGACCGGGCCAGTTGAGCCGGGAGCACTGTCCAGTCCGGTAGTTTTCTAAATTCTAGTGTCATCGAATTATTTGTTTCAGATAGACGATCGCATTACAGAACCTTTAAACCGGTCACACGGGGCGACGGAAAGTGCACACTCTGAAACGACATTACATGTTGGTTATCATAATGTGTCCGCTACCATTATACGTGAACTGTTCAAACCTTACGGCACAATCACACGCATAAAAATCAGTGAGCAGCAAAGGTTCGTAGTTGTTCTTTTTCCCCTTGTTTTCACTTTTTACATCATTATTCACTCTAGAATTCGCGTTTAATAAAATCATCAGTACATTGTTAAATTAAACAATGGTCTCATTTTGATTAACTTTTGCTTGGTTGTTATCCAAGAATTGTAGTCGATCATGGACTTATTATCACAGTAGTTCATCATGGACAATCCAAATAGAAGTAATGCATTGTTGAGTTGAATCTTTGGCATCCATTTTCCCTAGGTCATTTTGCACTCATCTGTGGTTCATGGTAGGCAAACACAGCTGGAAACTTCCAAAACATTCATTGCATCTATTCTTTTCCTGGCATCACGGCTAGAAGAGGTCGATGTAACATTTAGCGTGAAGGTATCGAATCTCACGTATACATCATTATTGTATTGCAGTGAATACGGTCAATGTTTTAAACCACATAATCCAAGGATGTGTTGCTGGGATGGCAAAAGGCATATGCAAGCTAGAAACAACCTGTTGATTCTACTTTTTAGGTAAGGATTTCGGCAGCTGGAGGGAAGAACGAAGAGAGAAGAGGGTTCCACAGCTGTTATTATTAGAGAGAAAAACGATTAAANGCGGTACCTGGGGATAATCAACTGAAGTGGATAACTAACTGCTTGTGTACGGGATATACGAGAAGGGACTAGTGGGAGAGAGACAGTTGAAGCTAGTTTAGTTAAAAATCCAAAATTGTATAGGTAGAGTAAGCATAAAGAAGCGACTGCTTGACAATGAGCTAGTAACTGTGAGTTACATGTGGTTG